ATGCCTTTCCTTGGAGGGTTAAACGTTAATGACCATAGACTAAGAGGTTAGGACAAGTGATTTCGTAACTTTAATTATATGCTTACAAGCTCATCTTTCATTATCTCAACCATACTTGCTTACGTACTTACGTAGTCTCGGTCAGTGCTTTCTTTGAGGTCATTAGGCCCTGATGATAAGAGCCTAACTTTAATCTTTTGGTAACTCTGATTTAGGACCGGTATTGTGTATAGACGCAAACACACACACACGCATACACTCGAGCAGAAGTAGCAGGACAAGTATGAAAGATAATTAGCCAAACCACTCTATATCCATCTAGTTTTTTAATTTTCTTTTGGCTTAACTGCGTCTATATAAGTGGTAAGATAAAGCCGGGTAGTCTACTTGGCCTAGTGTTAACACAACCTTTACAAGAATGACATCCGGCTCTGATGATGCTCATCATATGATGGACTAAAGCTCAGCACGATTTCACCCAAAACAAGTAAGTCCCGTGGACTGCGTCAACATTAATATCGTGTAAAATCCAAACGGTTGCAGTACAACGAGATTCATCCGTCCTCATCTGGTGAGATCGACCAACGAATCTCTTCTTTATCCGCTTTCATACGAAATGAAGGTCCTCCTAACAATGGCAATGGCTGTGTGCGTGGCGTAGCTAAGAAAAATGTTTTAGTGATGACTAGTCCGGCTAAGTTACTACAGGATCTATGGCCTTTTTATTTTTTCAGTAAAATAAGGCAAAGTAAACTATGTAGTGATGAAATCGGAGTTATGATTTTTATTGCCTCAAATGATTGAGAATATGGATATTTGTCTACTGTTCAATGAAGTACGTGGTAATCAAACCCCAGCTATTTTGCCGCTCTTGAACAGGCTACTGACAATGTGCAGCTTCATTTTGTTCCGGCTACAAACAAGTTCGCTGCTCTGGCTGGTCACGACTGTCTTATCCATCTTGCTGGCGGGTGTCTTGGCCAGCTGGCGGCTGGTCTTCTAAAGACGGCTAACGATATTCGGCTGCTGTCATCTGGGCCACGTTGTGGTCTGGGGGAACTAAGGCTCCCAGAAAACGAACCGGGTTCAAGCATCATGCCAGGTATATTTAAAAAGAAACATATCACTTGGCGTCCATTTCCATGCCTATGCTAATGCCTGCGAATCTTCCTCTCCCTAGGCTTCAGGCCACATTGGGTCTCATTCATTCGGGCCCTGTGTCCGGCTTAAATCATAACCGCTGGTGTGCAAATGCAATTTGTGTGGGGATGAGAAAGGCGATAACTGAGTCATTGGTTTGAAGCCTAGGGTGAGGAAGATTTCCAGGCCTTGGCATACGCATGGACATCATCTGCTCTAAATCCTCTAGTATGGCATAATTGGGGACGGGAATTGAAGACTCTTAGGCAACCAAATTTCAGACAGACAGTGATTTTGACGTTT